TGCTAAAAGACACAGTTTTCTTTTTCATATTACTTGTCTCATAACACACGACACAACACACTCTTCTGTTCAGCGGAAGGGATGTTGTGATCACAACACTGGCAGAAGACATATTACAAAAATGTGCTTTTCACATCACTGTCGGTTGATTTTTATTTATTTTTTTTGTGTGATCAACAAATCGAATTAATCTCATGTTTTCCTCAATAGATGACATTAAAATAACGTGTGATGTGAATGGCACTGTTGAAGTCCAAAATGGAGAAAATGTGACAATTCGCTGCACATCATTTCCAAACGCACAGTACAGATGGACCAAGGTAAAGGAAACTTGGAATTTAAAACTGAATTTAACTCTGACTTCTTTTCAAAATAAAAGGTTTTTATGTGCTACATAATCATGCTTTGCCCCAGAATGATGAACTGTTGTCAGAGACTGAATCTCTGGAGCTCCGGTGGGTGACTGATGCTAATGCAGGGGTTTATACACTGAGTGTCAACACAGGAAGCAAATCTGTGCGCAAAGAGTTTGTGGTCACAGTGCAACCACAAGTTTGAAGACAGGTGAGCGTCTTCAGTTCGTTGCTGCTCTTTGCCTCTTTGTGTCATAATAAATGACATTTAAACTATAAAATCAAAGCCTCAAATCAAAACTGGTAAAGGTCTTACTATCTGTTCATTTAAATGTCCTATGCCTGCTTACATTGGTTTTTCTGTGAAAGACATAAAAAATAGTGTTATCTGTCAAAATAGCCAATAGATGTGCATACAATACCTGTACATGCTTTATAGATTTAAGTAACTGTCTAACAAAGACACTAGGCAATATTTGTGCTCTGTCTCTTCCTAGGATGGATCTACCACCTCCTTTCAATCTCCCTCCAGCTTTAGTCAAGTATACAGCTGCAAGGTAGAGCAAGACTACAACAGAGCCTTTCCCCATCTTTGACACAGATTCAAATATGAAATATGTCAGCTGAAAAGTGAAGTAATAGTAGGGATGGGGTTTAAACCATGTCTTCTCTTGTTACTAATTAGAAACCAGTACAAACCAGAAGTTTTGCAACTGTAGCCCTGTCTAAAGGCATTTTCAGGATTTTTTTTGAATGAGGTGACAATTGTTGATTTATTTTTGTGTATATAGCTTTGCAGTTGTAGCTGTTGATGAATTACTTTTAATTTTAATATATTTCTCAGTACCTTGAGCTATAAACCAACAATTAAATAAAATACAAGTACATAAAACCTGAGTAAATAATCCTGTATATGCTCTGATCCAATTTCCACAATTGTTCTTTTTGTTTTTTTAAATTATAATTTGTATTTCTGATTTACTAAGTTTTACAGACCAATAAACCACAAATGCTACATTTCTGCAACATATAAATTCTTCATATAGAAACATTACGTGGACAAAAGTATTGGGTCACATCAGTTAATCTTAGAATTCAGGTGTTTTCAGTCCCATTGCCACAGGTCAGTGGTGGAACTGAAAAATTTTATGTGGGGCAAGATGTCTAGGCAGAGTGGCACATACCTCTTTAGAGTGAAACTCGCCCTTATGGAGTCAACAAAATATCCACAAAAACACTTTAAAATTATTTATTGTATAATTATCTCTTCTGAGAAAACAAAGGCTACAAGAGGCTTTTGGACAAACAAGCAATTAGCTTTACAACAATTTTAGCCATAGTATTTTAGGTCTGATGTTTGTAATTTTTTTTTGTAAATACACGTGTAAGCAATAAATGATCAAAAACCAGGAATATGATGGATATTGTTTTTAAGAATTTAACCTTCTCTGTATTTTGTTATTTTGTTTTATGGCTAGACATAAAGCTAAATAGTATCATGTTTTGTCAATGCTATGCAGGCTGCAGCTGTACTCTGCAAAGGGGTCAAACAGCAATACAAAGGGAAATTAAAACTATACACTTGTAAAGTTAAATAACAGTTTTGTCATTGTAATATTTTGAAGCAACATAAAGCTCTGCGTTTGCTCAATATGTGAAAACTCTAAAAGGCTATGCAACATATACATTTTTTAAATTTTGAGCCTACTATGCATATTGCTGTAAAAATGCAAACATATATTTCTTGGCTGAGCTCACACACAGGCATTTGATGATTCTCACACTCCTCCAGACTATTTTATATTCACACAATAACATAATGTGGCTTGAAGGCATGAGGGCTGGGTTTGCAGGAACATATGTACAGTAGATTCAGTCTCACTCACTGCATATGCATCCATGTAGATCCTATTAAAGCATTTAATATTATTGCATCCATTGTATACTTCTGCAACCAACCTAAGTACGTATATGCCAGCACTTGTTTTTGTTTGTTTTATTCCCCCAGAGAACAGAAAGCAACTACCCAAACAGATGAATATCCAATTCAAATGTGGTTCAAATTTGAAGTTACAGAATAAATCCGTTTCTGTTAACTGGCTAAAACTAATCACTAAGACTATTTTTGATACAGACTCACTTATCCACCTCTGCTCCTTGGCTGGTCCATGTTTAGAACACCGTGATGTTCTTAATTAAAAGTTATCCTCAGTTACCCTACCGCAATACAAAACGGCACCAGTGTATGTTGTGTAATTTTTGTTTGCTTTAAGAGCAAGATTCGGGAATTGATCTTGTTAAGTTAGTGCTTATAGTTTCGTTAATATTTAACGGTCAGACGAACTTGTGATGCCAGCACGTAAACGGTTAACCCGTTGTATAAAGGGGCAGTACAGACACTCGCAATGTCTTGTTACTTCACTGACGTCTCCTCAGAGTGGGGAGGCGAGGTCACAAGTTCCCAAACACAGCCGCACAGCAATCACACACTCCCGCCACAGGGAGGGCGGAGAAAGACGCGCAGGAGACCAGGGGAACGCACTCGAGCCAGGTCAGAGTTACTGAAAACTGCTACCGCTGCTGAGCTCTGACAGGTGGGATGACCAACTATCCTTCACACTCCAATGGTATGCAGAGTCTCCGGAAAGAGCACCTGTATAAGGTGCTGGTCATCGGAGACCTGGGGGTCGGGAAGACTTCCATCATCAGGCGCTACGTCCACCACACCTACTCCACTAATTACCGGGCTACGATCGGAGTTGACTTCGCCCTGAAAGTGTTAAACTGGGATTCAGAGACGGTGCGGCTCCAGCTGTGGGACATTGCAGGTAGGGCAGTGAAGAAGCTGAGTGTGTGTTACGTGTTGTATCTGTCTGTAGGTGTGACAGCAGGCCAAATAAACTGGCAACTTGCTTTTCCTCCACAAAAGTTTATGGGGGGTGTAAGGGATCTGTATTGTACGCCGTTTACACCATTTTTCCTCCTTTTGGTATTTTAAAATATGAAATGTAAAAGAACTAGTGGAGGAAGAAAAAGTTAGAAAATTTGTAGCAGTGCTGCTTAGTTCCCGAAAAAAAGATCCTTTGGGTAGATAACGCGTATCTTCTAAGTGACAACGAGGCATGACTCTTCTATATTTATGAAACGTTCACAACTTAGAGATGCACTGTCACTGTGGAGAGCTGGTATCTGACACAACCCACGTTCTCTCTCTCTCTCTCGCTCTCTGACACACACACACTGCTTAGACAAGACCAGCACACTGTTGTTCAGTCATTCATTTAAGGTATGATGTTGCATCATGTGATTAGAGCCATGTGAGGGAGATTTAAAGGAGTTACAGGAGTGTTTTGTAGCCCTAATAAAAAACAAAACCACCTTAGTCAGTCACAACGAGCAAAGTGAGACACACACAGAGGTACATGCCTGATGGGTTTAATTTTTCTTCATTAAATTAAATGATTATGTCAGGGTCAAGTAAATATAGTAAGTCACATCTGATTTAGTTTGTCTACCTGGTTGAATTAATCCAGATGGGCAGATAGGCACTGAGGAGTGAAACATTAATCCTCTTTTCATCATGCGGGGAATACATTTCACATATGCTTTGATTGGAAGTCATGCAAAACTTTAAAGCGCACCCTAGGCTTACTGAATGACAGTTTGTCAAGTGACAAATGTGACACGTCTGTCTGTGACTTCTCTTACACAATGGCAATTATTTATATACAGCCTTGCACAAAAGGAGGAAGCTATCAATTTCCCCTTACTTATGATGGCAAATGGCAACACTTTGTCTTTCTCAGAGAGCTTTTATTAAAGCCAGAAGTGGCCTCTCATCCATCCATTAGTATTAACTTTTCTGCTGAGAGGACATTTCCTGCACAGCAAGCAGGATGCACACACCTACGCGCTCTGTTCCGGACCAACAAGTCAAATTAGACCGCATCACGCATCTCTGAGGGAATGTGTTGTTAACAGCTAACCTGCTCCTCTAATTTTCATTTCTTGCACAAGCTCAGATGAACCCACGTGCATACATCTTCCATATAGACTTTTCACATGCGTACAGGGATAAATGCTGTTTTAACCTACTTGCAAATTGCATGTCTAAATTAAGCAAATCAAGCAGTCACATTGGCCATATGTTTATGTGCGACATGATGGTAAGACTACAGGAATGTGCTGTTTCATGGGAATGCAGGCACTGCTGACTGCAGTCAGCTGTATTAGTTGTTTTGCTGCAAACATGCAGGAAGAACAATGAAAATCTGTCATTGGATCTGATGCTGGCAACAACAACGCTGTCTTACGAATGAATGAATCTCCGTGTTTGTCTGTGTTTGTGAATCACAGGTCAGGAGCGTTTTGGGAACATGACACGAGTGTACTACCGTGAAGCCATGGGGGCCTTCATAGTGTTCGACGTGACACGGCCAACAACCTTTGAGGCTGTCGTTAAGTGGAAAGAAGATCTGGATTCTAAATTAATGCTGGCTAATGGAAAGAGCATCACCACCGTGCTGCTGGCCAACAAGTGTGACCAGGGCAGGGAGCTGACCAACAATGGCATTAAAATGGACCAGTTTTGCAAGGACCACGGCTTTGTCGGTTGGTTTGAGACTTCTGCCAAGGTGCGACCAAAGTACAATTATAATACGTTTGTTACAGTTTGCTAGTCATTTCCGAAGTATGGAATGAAACAGATTCTTAAACAAACACAGAACATACCTCATTTTCCTAACATCATATAACAAACACACCCTTCCTACTGGAAGTCTTTTTTAGCTGTTATAGTTCCCATCTCTCCCACCAACATGTAGCCACAGCTTCCCTGCATCCTTCTCCACCAGCACCATAGCACCCAACTGTAAGCCCTGGGGGATATTGACTCATCTCTCCCTAATTTTACATATAATATATTAGCAGGGAATAATGAGCCAAGAGCCTAGATGCCAAATGCTGACTATATTGTGCTCCTTTAATCAATCAGTCATTTTAAAATAGTCTTATCTGACTGAAACAGAGATTTATTTATTTTTTGCTTTGTTCCTAAGTGTCAGAAGAGAAGCCAAGCTAAGGTAATCAGTTGCTTCCCAGAGCAACCATTAAAGAAACACATACAACCCCGAGCAAGAGTGCATCTAGGGATACTTCTCAAAATATAAGCACTGTTTAGGATTGAAAGAATCCCAGCCATCTCTGAGTCACACTCTGGTCACTTTAGTCAGAAATGATCATCTCCATAGAGCTAACTGGGCTTTTATATGCTCATGAGATACATTTACAGTGCAGGGTTAGAAGAAATTCCATAAGTTATTGTTAACTGTCTGGTGTTCAAAAACTCCCACATCCTACGGGGAGTTCTGCTTCCAATCAAAACCCCACTGTTTTCAGTTCTGTTCTTGAGTGGGCATTATAAAACCTCAGTTTGATGACATATACATTTTCTACCTGCTTAATGTGCTGGATAATTTGTGTTTTAGGCACCATATAATTTGCTGTAGTTATGATATACATGCATTTGGTGTTCTGCGATCTTGACCATTTAAATTACTAGGTTTAAATAAAATGTTCACGCTCAGTACTCGGTGTGTTTGTCGACATTTCCAGACGAACGCCGTAAAATTGTTTTACTTTTATGCTGCTGCATAGAATTCTGCTAATATCGCATGCACTTACACATCTGCTGTTGACACTGACGTGTTGGAGCTGCTTGTGGCATCAAGACTCGACATTCTGAAAGGTCAAAGTTTATAAGGTGCAGATTTGCCCAGAAGTGTCAGAGGTAGACTATACAAACAGATGTACCTACTCCTTATGTGGAGCAGCCAGAAGAACGTTTACTGCATTTATTTAAAGACGTACATACATGATGGTGTTTCTGTGATGGTAAAAGCAGTGCGATTGGTCACATTTTTAAAGGTGGGATCATGTAAATGCTTCTAATGCTCTGTTAGTGTTCTGACACAAGGTTAATAAAACTGGGACGTTGTTTTAATGAGTTCTTCTCTCTCATATAGGACAATCTCAACATCAGTGAAGCTGCAAACTTCCTAGTCAAGCATATCATGGCCACAGAAAACGACATCCTGAAAACTGTGGTACCCGACACCATCTCTCCGCAGCTCAACTCCAACAGGCAGATGAGCTGCTCTGGCTGCTTGAAATAATGAAAGGACAGATCAGTGTGAGAACTGAAAAAGAATGGATGCACAGCAGGACTAAGAGGCAAAGCCATCTGAATCTTACAAGGAAAGGGGAGCAGTGGTGGTGTGTACTATGAAACGATTGGAACAGTTTAGGCTCTTTGGTCCAAACTAGAGTTGAACATTTTAGTTTGTTGCGCTTTTGAGGAGCAAACCAAAGCTTGCAGATTGAAGTCACTTGAAGTTGCTCATTTATTTAACACTTTTTGTTGTAACGTGCCATGCTGCGAGTGTGAAGTTTCTGCCGGAATAATGAAATAACACTGCTGTCTGTGTTTTTCGTCACGATGTGGTGTGTTGAGCCAGAGAGCATAGACACAAATCTCTGGTCATCTCTGCCTATTTTTTATTTTTTTTTAACCTAATTAAATTTTTACTCTTACAACAACAGCTCGCTTTGAAAAACACTGGCAACATCTTCACCTCATGAATGGTATGAAAGTTCTCCCGATACGCTTGATGCAACACACCCAAAGGACTCAATGTAAATACACATCTTTAATTTTATTCTGCACTAGCCAAAGAAAACAGTACTGACCTCTTTCAGAGGATCCCATTTATTTATTTATTTTTTTGCTATTTTCTAATGATGTGAAATTTTCACTTTTTAAAAAATAAATTAAAAAAATCAAATAGGTTGTTTATATAATTAACTTTGAGTATTTAACATTGGGTAATGTATCAAGATAAACTGCTTCAAATCTGTCACACAACTAACGAACTTTAATTTGTTGGTTATATCTGTAGTAACAGTTTGGTTGTGGCAAGAAGCTGCAAAGAAGTGGAGTGAAATATTTTAGACACACAAACATCCTGGAGCCTGCTTGGTGTAAACAGACTTTTATGGCCATGGAACAGACGTGCTGGAGCAATTCAAGTTTATGTGGTCAAAGATTTCCCAGACATATGTCTTTGTCAATAGTAGGGGAGTGGTTGTCATACTGCTAAACACTGGGTTTTAGGCTTATAACATCTAAATGGTAAATGGACTGCTTTGTTATTGATCTCTCACAGTGCCTTACACTACAAGCTACACTCACAGAGCATCTTACTCGCAAGGACAGTTCAGTTCATTTCAGCTTGGAGCCGTGGACCAAACCATCAGTTTCCGATTACCAAAACTTCACAGTGTTAGTTTGGCCCACGTTACCTCCTGAGTCACACTTTTATCAGAAGTGATTATTAAGTGTCTGTGTATGTAATTTTTCTTCATCAGAACCTAACCCCTTGTATCCATGGTAACTGGAGTCTTTTTGGAGTATCCTCCAACATCTTTGTGAAGCTATTTCTCTCTCTTTGCAGGCACACATCAACGCTCATACCCATATAGGCAGGTTTCTGTAATCTCTGCATCCTTGTTCCTGTTCTCCTCTTCTTTTTATTGTTTCACTGTGTTTTTTACTCGCTTAGCTATTTGAAGTTTTTCTTTTGTATGTTTTCTGCTTTTTTTCCCCTTTTGCTTGCTTCTATTCTTTGATTTACATTTTATACATTAGGTACATTATGCAGATACTGTATACAGCATCTTCTACATACTGTGGGATTTAGTACTTAACCTGATTGTCCAGTTGCCTTGCATTGAGCCTGCTCCTGTGTACTACTTGCTAGTATTAGCCTCTAAATTTATGCCATTCTTTTTCTTCTTCTTCTTCTGTGAATTAAGACATAAATTTAAGTTAGCTCTCATATCCTGATCTGGATCAGCCCACTAATCTGGATTAAATTAATTGTTTGGTTTGTTGGCATTTCTGCAAATGTACTGTGAGAGGTTGCTTTCATAGCTGACTGAGGTTTATATGGCAGTGTCATGTGGTAGTGTGAGTTTTTATTGGTTATTTACAGCTTGCATAAGGGTGGATTTAAACAAGGGCCTCTCCACAGAAAAATGTCACATTTTTTAGCTCATCATGAGAGCGTCTAAACATCATGCATCTCTCATATGATATCAGAATGGCAGCGTTACACTTTACAGGCACAGGAAAATGTGCTGTGAGAAGTCATTGTATGGTGTGTTTGAGAAGGAAAGAAAGACTTAACATCCCTTCTTTAGTTGTTATGCTGTGTGCAGATTGTACTTGTGTATTTATGTTAAAGCTGTGAAATCAGTTAACACATATAAACCATGTTATCTGTTTTTCTAACACTTTCATAAAACTTCATAAAACAATGATTTTATTCATCCACTTTAACCTGGAACAAACATTTATTTTCTGATCACTCTGAGGACCACTGTAAGACAGTGAACAGAAAATCAGTGTCTAACTTTTATTAGTTTAATAAAAATTATA